GCAGAAACCACAAACATGTCAGAAAGCTCCTTAAACCTAAAAACCTCCAATCCGCTCAGTCAGGACTCGATGTTTCAGGTCTTTGTGTTTAATGCCGTGTTCTTGGCAGAAAATTCGAGTGAAGCGTCAGCGTTCCAGAGCCGGCCGAGCTGATCCGGATCAACGACCTCTGACCTGACACAGAAAACATTCAAGCTGCAGGACGATTATCAGGTTTATTTATCAGCACGTGAAGAGAGAGGGTCGAGCCTCAAGCCCCGAGAATAATGAGCTCAGATTATACACGAGCTGTATTAACCTTTAGTCATCAGGTTGGATTACTGAGAACAAGGAAAAACAAAGATTTCCTGCAGCTCAGCGAGCTCCGTGCTGCTCTCCTGCAGCCTGGAAGGTGAAAAGAACCGAGTCTGGTTTGTGAAATGAATCGAAACTGCACAAAAAAACCCTGAGTCATCATTTCCCTCGATATGATTTCATAACTGCACGCCCATCCTACTTCCTGTGATGTCAGCGTCATGGTAACAAATCAATAAAAAACAGTTTTTTATTGATTTGTGATAGAAATATTTACAGTGGAGCTCTGAGGTCAAAGGTAAACACTCCTGTGTGTGTGTGTGTGTGTGTGTGTGTGTGTGAAATATGAATAGGACTCCTGTTAATCAGCTGTTTCCTCCTGCAGTGGCATCATCGCCCTGAACGCCACCCTGAGCTTTGAGCTGCAGCCACAGGAGGAGCAACAACATCACCACCAGCAGGCGAGGAAGGAAGAGGAGGAGGAGGGTGCAGGAGGGGAGAGTGGAGGAGGAGGAGGTGATGATGAAGGAGGAGTCCACCTGCTGTTCTCCACCTCCCCCCTGGAGGACGACGCTGCAGGAGGCTGTGGAGTGTCGCACACCGCCGTCCCCCCCATCCACAGCTCCACACACACACACAGGGTGAGACAGGCCGCCATGTTTTTATAAAGCAGAGTTATAGTCTGCACAGTCAGGAAGTGCTTATAAGGAATGTGTGTGCAAAGGTAAGGCTTAGGGGCACCCAGGAGGTCGGATCTGGAGAGGCTGTGGCCCACAGTCAGTGACAGGAGCCACGCCCCCACGGACATGGAGGGTGACGTGATGCAGTGCTGTGCACACAGATCTCACACGTCTGAAACAATCGGCGTGTTTAAGTGTTCCAGTATTTCACCTGCAGTCAAACAGGAAGTGAAGCCGTTCCTCTCCCCAGACTTTGTTCGATGAAGCAGGAAAGAGTTTTAAGATGTTAGATGACATGTTAAAGTCAGTGCAGGTAGATCAGCAGCTCCTGTTTTACGTGAGTAAAAATCCCCTCACAGAGAAGCCGATTCTCTTTAAGGCGAGCGAGTCTGAACAAACGCCGTCGTCTCTGTCGCCACACGAGCAGTTCAAACTGCAGGTCAGCCCTTGTGCGGCAGCTGTCGACGGGGTCGTTAAAGTTTAACTGCAGAAGTCTGATAAACTACAAATACGTCAAACTTTTACTCCCATTTGACCTCTGACCTGACCTCTGACCTGACCTCTGACCTGACCTCTGTGTGTGTTCTGTCTGCAGACGAAGAGAGACATCCTGTCTGAGACCAAATACATCGAACTGGTGCTGGTGGCCGATCACCAGGAGGTCAGTGAGTGTGTGTGTGTGTGTGTGTGTGTGTGTGTGTGTGTGTGTGTGTGTGTGT